TGCAGAAAGCACAGTGGGAAATCAAATTCCCAATCTCCGACTCTGCAGTCAGATACCTAAACCACTTACTGGCCTTACTTGCAGGAAATTCTAGGAGTTACCATCCAAAGAAGTAACTTCCTGAAGCTTTGGATGCCGGACATGCTCTGCTTTTAACTATATACAGTGGACCCTCTACTTACGGAATTAATCCGTATTGGTACGGTGGCTGCAGGTCAAAAAGTCTGTAGGTCGAGTGTCCATTGACCTACAATGCATTGACAACCGATTAATTCTGTAAGCGTCCGTTTTTGTTCCATTTTTGTTCCATTTTGGTTTTTTTCTGGTCTGTAGGTCGATTCTACGGCTGCAAGTCAAACCTAAATTTTGCGGCCAGAGAAGTCTGTAATTCGAAAAGTCTGTAAATTGAGGGTCCATTGTAAATCCTCGACAATCTGCTGTAATTTTGCAGTGTTGCCTCCTAGTTGTTAGAGTAAACCCAGCTTTTTTTCAGGTCCCTCCTTATCTATCTGTTCCTTTTTTTATTCTATGCTTGTCTTTCTGCCTCTTTTTGCCTATCTTATCTCTTCTTCATACTTAGTGGTCTTCTCCCCAGCCTCATGCAAAGTACCTCCTCCCAAATATGTGGATATAACATGCAAAATTTTTCTAATAGCATCTTGGAGTTATAAGCAAGGGAATGCTGCTGTCTGAAAATTTTGATATGTTAAAACAGTACAGTAGGTCTTTTTCAATAACGGGAAGGCCAATACCAGATGAATACTATTTGAAGATTGCCAAGATAATTAATATTTGTACATGAAACCCAGAGAAATTGTGGAATGTGTACAGATTGTGGAGGGAACAATGTATTTATGGACTGCAGACAACCTTTCCATTTAGCCAACCCAAACAACTCTTGGCATCTATGTTCATGTGTACTTTAAGTGTCTCCTAGCTTGTATGAATTTGCTAATGTGTGGTCCACTTGGTGTTGCAAAACCTATTAGAAAGTCTACTCTCTGTCCTGGCTTTCACAGTCTTATCTTCTTAGAAAATGCTTGCTTTGATACAGTAGCCTTTGTCTTGGCAAGAGAAGCAATCAATTGCCTATTCTTAGATCTCAAATATTGGTTGTGAAGTCTTAAATGAGTGAGCTTTGTTCAAAGTGCGCATTGCTTTCTTTATTCTTTCTTTCTTTTTTATTATTTATGATTAATTAGCTCTTTAGGCCTGCCAGATATTAAAATATTTGTATGAATTGGGTGCCAAAAGATTTTTGAGTTACAATCTGGAACAAAGTCAGCATTGTGAAAAGACAGAAATCTTTTGTGTGTAGAATCATTTAACCAATCCACCTGTATTCCTCTATGTCTGCCTCCCCATTCCCTCACTCTCAACTGTTTTGATGTGTATCTAAGAAACATAGTGAAAACCGAAATTATCACATCATTCCTCCCTTTTTAAAAGTCATTTATGTAATGGGTTATGGGGGAAATGTAACTCTGAAAAAATAGGCCTTTCATCAATGAATCATTGTCAAATATATGAGGAGCACAATATGTTTAAAGGCCCACTTTGGCTCCAGATTTCCTCAGCTTGTCTCTGTCTGATCCCAAATGGAAACTGCCTTCCTACACATTCCACTCCCCAAGCTGTCCCAAGACTTGCTGGCTTTCTAGATGTGCTGAAATGCAAAGCAGCCAACTGGATGACTGGACTGCCAAAATGGCTAGTTGTTTGCCATTAGGCCAACCGTTATCCCCCTTTTGCCTTTCTTAAATCTAATTCAAAGTGCTGGCCTCCACCTCAGCAGAGGCCCTTTGCTTGGTCCCATTGCCATCACAGACATGTTTGATAAGGACAGGATAGGACCTTCTCTTTGCCTGCTCCCAGATTGTGGAATTCTCTCCCCTGAGAGGTTAGGTCAACCCCCCCCTTTTTTTTAGCCTTCCACTGACAATTGAAGACCCACCTCTTCAGGCAGGCTTTTAATGGCTATCCTTGAATGCTGATTTTTTTTGGCAATTCTGAATTTGCATTTAAAGTTTTTAATTTTCTTAATTACTCTCGTTTAATTGCTTTTATAATCTGTAATTTATTCTGTTTTTCGTATTTCTTGCTTTAACATCATGAGCCACCTTGAATCCCCTCACCAGGGAAAGGTGGTCTACAAATGATACAAAATAAACAGATAAATAAAATATTAAAGCTGTATTTCAGCAGGGCTGAAAGAGGGAATATTGGTTGCCATTATAATTATAGTTTTAAGAATTTTTTTAAAAAATGTATTTTCACATGGCTCATAATTATTTAAAATATTTACTTTGGACAACTTTTTAAAAAACATATGACCCATGTTCCAAGCTATTGAGTGTGGTATGAATGCTTCCTTCTATTTTACTTTGGCATCATCTCAGTGCCCACAAGAAAGTGTGGGGTAGTGGCATGAGCCAGTGCTTGAAACAGCTGCCAGGTCCCTGTGTGCATAGCATGCCAGTCTACATAAATATTGGTCTGGTCCAGCCCAGCTCCTTGCATGTTTTTCCAATGGTTAGATATGCTTCATAGTCTTCCATGTCTTCCTCCTGTACTGCCTCTGGGTATAACTTTAATTATGGACAAAGATGTAAATCTGCATGATATGTGTAAATTTCACACTTCACTGAAAATAGTGTTTTACCTGGTAAATGGATGGTTAGGCATGTAACCTGAGCAGGAAGGGAAATTACTACTGCCTTCTTCCATCTCTAATCCCCTTTTGGTTTGCTGCAATCTTTCTTTAAAGGTGGTCTACCTCCCACAGGCTATCTGAAGTTTCTGTTGTCCGGAGATAATCAAATAATAACACAGTTAGTGGCTAAGTTTTTATTTTCAGCTATGAGAATTTGCAAAACGCTATAGCAAATTATATTATACTACATATTTATTCTTTTCTGTATTTATCTCTGTATAATTGGGTCTATGACCACATAAGAAAACTTTGGTTGTTGTAGGATTTTCGGGCTGTTTGGCCGTGTTCTGGAACACGGCCAAACAGCCTGAAAAGCCTACACCAACCATTGGATCAAGGCTGTGAAAGCCTTCGAGAATACCATAAAACTTTACTTACTCTTTAAATTTGATTAACCCTGAGAATCAACTTTCTTGTGTCACTGGGAGCTATAGTAAGGAAACCAATATGAGAATGACCAGTTCTAGAAATAGATCCCTGACCATTTTCCATGTTGAGTAAACAGAGGAGAGTTGGTCTTACAAACAGTCCCAGGGCCACAGTTTCCCCAAAGGTGACCTGGCATGTGTTTATTGGTATTGGAGATCCTGGAGAGAAGAACCATCTCAATAAAAGCAGAGAAAGCTGCCTTACACTGAACCAAACCATTGGATTGTGTAGTCCAGAATTATGAACCCGGGCTGACAGCAGTTCTCCAGGATTTCAGCTTGAGATCTCCAGTATTCCTGATGGTTCCCCATCTAAGTACTAACCAAGTTGATCCTGCTCAGCTCTTGAAATTAGGTTAAGACTAAGTGTGTTCTCTCCTGCCAACCTAGCAGTTCAAAAGCATGTAAAAATGTGAGTAGATAAATAGGGACCACCACAGTGGGAAGGTAACAGCGCTCCGTGTCTAAGTCGCACTGGCCACGTGACCATGGAAGATTGTCTTCAGACAAACGCCGGCTTTATGGCTTGGAGACGGGGATGAGCGCCGCGCCCTAGAGTTGGACACGACTGGACTAAATGTCAAGGGGAACCTTTACCTTAAGTGTGTTCTGGGTGACATGGTGGGCTTGATAAAGTATTAAATGCTCCAATTTAGCTAGTAGTGCTTTAGGATGGGTGTTTTCTTTATGCATTCACCATGCTTTATACAAGAACACAGCAGGCAACTAGTAGTCTTCAGCTATGTCTAAAAGGGATTGGTGGTGTCAGGCATTGTAGGAGCTTTATAGGAATAGTGGATAAGATAAGCATACAGCCAGTTATTTTTGTCTACACATGTGGAATCTTGGAGGGTTTGCAATTGCACTAAACTCTCCTGTGTTTTGTATACATTCATTTTGGTTATTTCCTTTACAACCATGTATTTTGTGCAGTACAGCCTACCTTCTGTTGTACCAGAGTATGACTTAGGTATTGATGGCCTTCATCCTACCAAATCCTGCAAGATCAGTTGCATGCATCATGTTTATATGCAGTAGATGATGACTGATTAATTGATCAGTTTTCCATGGTTGTAGGTTACTTGCTACAGTAACAAAATCAAAGATGATAAAGAGGAAGGAAAAGTTGAAATCTCATAAATATTTTCATACTATGTAAAGGAGTAATCAGGACTGAACCTCTTTCTACTCTTCAATTATAAACAGTCACATTCACCATGATATCAGGAGCATAAAGATTGCACACAAAAGTCCATTGTGGTGAATTTCTGCATGTTTCCATCTTTAAGAGGCTGAAAGATAGGATAGCAGGCAAAATCCTATGTACTCTACTCCTATATGTTCAGTGATCAAATACTGTATATATCTGGGGCTTCAGCCAACTTTTTAAAATATCTGGCATTTTATTTTATCTTCTGTCATTTTCAACATGTTTTCCTTCTTTTTCTTTCTTTATCTTTTTCCCCCCAAAAATGATGCTCTGTGATTTGTGTATGGGAAAACAGCAGCTTGTCCACCTTAATTTGGCATTAACATTTCTCTCTCATTTAGCATGAAGGGGAAAACTTAATAAAAATCAGTTTCTGAAATGACTTGGTTAGAAATTTACATTACTATGGTCCTATTCTTGTCTTTACTTTAATACTGCAAGGAAGAAGTACATGCTTTGTCTCTGCTTTTTTACTTTGCAACTTTCAGCATTGAGCGTTTTTTTAAACAGTTACATAGAATGAATTATGTTTCCTGATTTATTTGTATGATGGTGAAAATGTGGTATTTGCATAAATTTTGCTATTTATTTTTCCTAAAAGAGCTGAAAATATTTCATCAAATTATTACTTCTGTTGCTTTCTTTCTAGAACTGTACGAACATGGGATATTAACAACGACAAAAAACACAAAGGTGTGTTTAAGCCACGATCAGCTCAAGGTAAACGAGTGATTCCCACAAGCTGCACATATAGCAGAGATGGCAAACTCATTGCAGCTGGCTGCCAAGATGGATCCATCCAGATCTGGGACAGGAATATGAATGTACGTGGTCTTTTTTTCTTTTCTTCATTGATCCACTCTGAAAATGTGAAATGCTGAATCTCTCATCTGATGAATTCCATAGTGTAGCACCGGCTGATCGTTCAGTTAGTTCTGATTGAAGCTGTGCCATCCAGTGCCTTATTTAGACTTTTCACTGGCTCAGAGTCCCAGCTGTTTTCCTTTTTTGAAATCATGTGTCAGATTATTGAACCAAAGATAGGAGGTGTGATATGCAGGCATTATTTTGCCAGGTCATTTTGTGAGAAGTGAACCCAATCCTGCCTTTCAGTGCTGTTAACCAAGGAGTGAAGTTGATGCTGTGATTGACATTTATTTATTTGATTGATTGAATGAGTGATAAATGGTCCCATTACTTCAAGCATCATTCTGGGTAGTTTACAAGCTAAAATTTGAAACCCCACAAGATCCCACTTAACAACATGCGTTCAAACAATACAGCAATACACAACTATACAGTCTAAAATTCATAGATAAAGAAAAGAAGGGAAAAGATTGCAGCATCTTGGAGAGTCAGCTGTTGAAGGCAGCTTTGAAGAACTCTATTTTTGCCAATTTCCTGAACATAAGGAGTGAAGGATTCTGTAGTATCTCAGTTGGTAACTTGTTCTAGAGACTGGGGCCACCACCGAAAAGGCCCGATTCCTTGTCGTCATCTTTTTGTCCTTCTTCGGCCTGCACACTTTTAGCAACATGGATTGAGAGGAGCAGGTGGAACCAGTAGAGACATTCCAGCAAGAATTGAAGTATTAAACCGGGCTTATAGGTCATAACTTGCACCATGACTAGAGATAGACTTTTAAAATGGGAGGGAGAAATACAGTTTGTCTGAAGAAAGGACTTCCTGGTTCATTTTGAATCTTCCCTCCATTGATGGAGAAGTAATTCTTGTCCACAGAATACAATCAGTATCTCCACCTTTTTTGTGTATGTATGGTTCATAGAATCATAGAAAAGTGAAGTTGGAAAGGGCCTACAAGGCCATCAAGTCCAACCCCCTGCTCCATGCAGGAATACAATCAAAGCACATCTGCCAGGTGATTATCTAAGTTTTTCTTGAATGCCTCCATTGTTGGAGCACTCACTAACTCCCAAGATAACTGGTTCCACTGTTGTACTGCTCTAACAATTAGGAAGCTTTTCCTGACAGTGGTCCGCAACCTTGGGCTTCCAGATGTTCTTGGACTAAAGCTCCCAGAAGCCTTCACCACCACCTCTACTGGCCAGGATTTCTGGGAGTTGAAGTCCAAGAACATCTGGAGGCCCAAGGTTGGGAACCACTGTTTCCTGATATTCAACCAAAATCCGGCTTCCTTTAACTTGAGCCCATTGTTGCATGTCCTGCACTCTGGGATGATCGAGAACAGATCTTGCCCCTCCTCAGCCTTTCATATATTTCAAAAATGCTATCATATCACCCCTCAGTCTTCTTTTCTCAAGGCTAAATATGCCCAATTCTTTCAGCCTTTCCTCATGAGGCTTGGTTTCCAACCTCCTGATCATCCTTGTTGCTCTCCTCTGAACTTGTTCCAGTTTGTTAGCATCCTTCTTGAAGTGTGATGTCCAAAAATGCTTTCGTTTCCTTTGAAATCAAGAATCCTAGAAGGACATGGTCACTCTCACCTGGAATTCCCTTTACTGCCTCTTCCCCCACCAAGTCATCTTTGTTGGTCAGAATCAAGTCAAGAATAGCAAATCCTCTAGTTTCTTTCTCCACTTTTTGTAGGAGAAAAGTATCAGCCACACAAGCCAGGAATTTCTTGGAAGGGCCATACTTAGCAGAATTTGCCTTCCAACATATATCTGGATAGTTGAAATCTTCCATGACTACTACGTCATGTCTCTTTGAAAACCCTGCGATTTGTTTTTCAAAAGTTTCATCCTCTTTCTCTCTTTGATTGGCTGGTCCATAGTAGATTCCAACTACCAAGTTCCTTTTGTTTTCTGCCCCAACTAGATTGATCCAGATGCTCTTGATGGAACAGCCACTGTCCTCTTCCTGTATTTCTGTGCAGGAATGTGTATTTTTGACATATACTGCCACTCCACTTCCCTTTTTATTCTCTCTGTTCTTTTCGATCAGTTTATATCCCTCAATTGTTGTATTCCAGTCATGGGAGCCATCTCACCAAGTTTCAGTTATTCCTATCAAATCATACTTACCCTCCTGAATTAAAATGTTGAGTTCTTCTTGTTTGTTTCCAATGTAATGTAGTCAAGTCTAGTTAAACCCATGTTGTTCAATATGGAACTGAGGGCAAGCAGTATATGAAAACATTGCAGTTTGTGATTCACTGTTGCTATCCAACCTTGTGTCTTAAGGGTTTTGTGGAAAAGTATTTGGGAGATTGAGGTTGATCATAGCAGCATGATATGTCAGGCAGCGGTGATTAAGGGTTATTTCTGCCATGCAGGGAAATTACTGGGTGAATGGAATTTGATTGCAAAAGCCACCTGAATTGAAAATGTTTACATGAACCTCCCCTAGAATCATTTTTGCAATCAACTTCAGACACTTCCCATTTCCGCTGCTTGTATTTCTCTAAAAACAACTTAACCCTGAAAAGGTCACCACAGGTCCTGGGTCAGTTTAGCTCATTTCTCCCCTCTCAGACTTCCTTGTCCCCTCTCAGCCAAAATCCAACACTCTGTTGTTGGGTTTTTTACCCCAGCAAAGTTCTACTTGAAGCCTTAAACTGATCAGTGACTTCCCTCTTTTGTAATGGTAATAATCTGCATTATTCCTGTCATAGAGAAACAAAGATGTCACTGGTTAAATTACAGGGACACAATGTAGTCTAACAATCTGCCTGACCTTAGTTCACCCACATTTCCAACTTGTCTTCCTGCATTCTTGGGAGCAAACGCATAGGTCCTTGTGGAGGGGAGCAGCAAGAAGGGATGCCTCCAGCCCTTGGAATTATAGATTTATTTCTTTGAATGTATGCAGATACATATTGGTACATGAGGTTGAGAATTTAATTCCCCACTGTGCCTCATTGACAGGGATAGACTCAATGATCCATAGGGTCTCTTCTAGCTCTGCAATTCTAAGATGATGATGATAATGATATGCATTTGAATTATGCAGCTATACCACTATACAACTTTGGGATGCGAAAGAACATAGTACTGTATTAATGGTCAACCATTGTTTTGCAGATAGTTGCATCTGTTTCTCCTGAAAGTTATGTAGATAAAACCATATAACTTCGTCATTATTGTCTTATAGATATTTTAATTTTGATACCCATCTTCAATTATAGCAGGCATGGGAAAGCACTACTAATACTGTCCCTACCACTTTCGAAAGGTTGTCATTAGTTTGAGCAGGGAAGTTTATAGAGTTGGCTGTAAATGTGCAGAACTATTGTTAACAAGTAAAGCATAATTTTGCTAGTATCTAATAATTTTTGAAATTAGCCCTGTAGGGGATGTTTGAAATAAGTAAATGACTGAGTAAAAATGATATATTAATAGTTGTGGTGCACCTTAGCCAAGTCAAGTTTCTTTTCCACCATTGGAGTAATATCTATTTCATTATATGTAATAATGGTTGTACTTTAATTTATTGTCTTAGAATGAGGGCAGTTTTGAATTACAACTTGGAGATATTTAAGTGATGTTTTGTGGAGATGCCAGTTGTTTCAGATACATACCGACAATCCCTATGAGTGCTACAAATATATATTTATTCATACAGGCATACCTCTGTTTATGAATTTAATGCATTCCCCAGGACGTTACATGACGCAAAAATTCATAAACCGAAACACAGTTTGCCATAGGAATGGGGGCGGCACTATAAATCTCCAAGCACAATGCATCCTGGGGAAACTTGCTTTGTACTATGGAAACAAATCATAAACCAAAGCATTATTTTCAGTGGATTTCTGTTTGTAAACCGAAAATTACGTTAACCGAGGCATTCGTAAGCCGGCGTACTACTGTATATATGGACTTGATGACACCCCATATTCCCTTTATCTTTATAATATACCACCCCATTAGTGCACACACTACTCTGGGTAGTTTAAAAAGTTAAAACTTGCAAATCTCGAAGACCCCACGTGGCAATACATGCTGTATAATAATATGGCATTTCAAGAAAAAAAAATAGAAAAGAAAAGAAAAAACTAGAAGAAAAATAAAATGTTAATAGAAACAACATCCGAAAAATTCAGTTGTCAAAAGCAACTTTGCATAGTTATGTTTTTAACAGTTTTCTGAACATAAGAAGGGATGGAGTCTGCCTTATCTCTGCTGTTAACTTGTTCCAGAGAATAGGGGGCCACCACTGAGAAAGCCCAATGCCATTGTGACAAACCCAGACCTACTGGGATATGCCACAGTTTCACTAAGCTGCCACCAACCATTCCCTATAAGAAGTCACACAGACCAGGGATGGATTTTTAACAAATAAAGGAATAAGGT